CGGTCCAGGACACCCAGAAATCTTCCAAACTGGTTTCCAAGAGGGCGCTGAGACAGCCCCTGGCCGCCCCCAGACTGTCCAAGAAAGCCCCAACACAGACGAAAAGGGCCGCAAGAGGCCCCCAAGAGGCCCCGAAACGAGGACATATCGCTCGAACGCGCCCAAGATGGCCTCCGGACGGCCCACAAGGCTTCCAACACGGCCCAAAGGGACGCCAAAATCATTGATTGTCCTTAGGTTTTGAATGGATTTCAGACACCCAATGTCGCCCCAACAGGCCCCCACGAGGGCGCCGAGACGGCCCATGGACGCCTTGCCGCGGGCACGAGGCGGGGCCCAGGACGGGGCCCTCGCACCGGGGGGCCCGGGGGCTCTGCCGTGGAGCTGGGGGCCTTGTAAAGTCGCCCGAAGACGGCCCTGGATTGCCAGAAATGGCGTTTCCAGACAACAAAAACGACCAATGACCGCCCGAGATCACCCCAGAATTGGTCCCTGACTGTCCAAGAGGCCTCCAAGACGCCCCAAGACCCCCAAAGAGCCCCAGGAGGCACAACTAATTTGTGTTTCTTTGGTTTTTGATCGATTTTCGAGTTCTCGCCTTTTGATTTTCCTGACGCTCCACGACGGCCCAAGAGGCTTCAGTTTCCGCTCCAAGGCATCCCCAGATGCGTTGAAGACGGTCACAGGACAGCCCACGGGGGTCCCAAGACGGCGACAGAAGCGCCCAAGGCGGCCCGAGAGGGCCCCAAGACGGCCCAAAGATGGAGCCAAGAGGGTTGACACGAACCGAAAATCCGAGCCTTCCACCCCGAGAGGCTCTCAGGAGGCCCCGAGAAGCCCCTAACAGGCTCCAAGAGGCCCCAAGAAGCCCCCCAGGGGGCCGAAGAGTATCCAAGAGGCCTCCCATGAAGGCCCCAAGAGGCAAACATCCATGTTTCGTCATAGGTGTTTGATTGATGTTGAAGTTTTCAGCCTTTTCGCGTCCTGACGCTCCAAGACGGCCCAAAAAGGCCTCCAAGACCAATCCAAGATAGCCCAAGAGGCCTCCAACAGGGCCCAAGACAGCCCGAGAGGGCACCAATACGGCCCCAAGCGGGCCCAAGAGGGGCAAGACGAACCGACAACCCGAGCCTTCCACCCCGAGAGGCTCTCAGGAAGCCCCAGAGGCCTCCAAATGGGACTCAAGGGGCCCTCAAGAAGCCCCCCAGAAGGCCGAAGAGTCTAAGAGGTTCCAAGAAGCATAGTTTTCCCATCGGCTTTTGATGGATTTTAGAGTTCCTAGCCTTTTGGCATCCCGACGCTCCAAGACGGCCCACGTGGCCGCCAAGACCGCTCCAAGATAGCCGAAGAGGCCTCCAAGAGGACCCCAAGACGGCCCACGAGGGCCCCAAGACGGTGCCCGAGGGGCCCAAGTCGGCCCGAGAGGGCTCCAAGAGGGCCCCAAGAAGGGGAACGCGAACCCAACAGCAGAGCGTTCCGCCCTAAGAGGCCCACAGGAGGCCCCAAGAGTCCCCAAGTGGTCCGACGAGGCCCCCCAGAGCCCCCCACCAGGCTTCAAAAGGCTCACAGGAGACGTACACGGGGCCCCAAGATAGCCGAACAGTGCTTTCGATGCATCAAAATTGCTTCAAGGAGGCCCCGAGAGGCTTCCGGGTTGCCCCAATGTGGCCTCAAGCTGGACCTCCACGCAGCCGAGACAGCCAATTGACTGCTTCAGATTGCAGAACCTCACTTTCCGACTGCCAGGAGAACCTTGACGATGCCCCCAAGGGACCCCAAGAAGCCCCAAGATGCCCCCCCGAGAAGCACCCAAAAGGTGCCAGCAACAGCCAATTGAGGAAGCACGGAGAACCCCCCAGAAGCCCTTCAGATGCCTCCACGAAGACCCAAGACATTCCCAAGAGGCCCTCAGGAGGCACGATTATGTCACGCGCCTGTGCTTGATAGCGCTGTCCAAGATCTTCTAGCGCGCCCCCGGCCTGGGCCAGAACCTGAGCGCGCGCGAAGCGCGCGCGATGGTTCTAGTACATGTATGTATATGTATATGTATATGTATATGTGTATGTATATGTATATGTATATGTATATGTATATGTATATGTATAGGTATAGGTATATGTATATGCAAATGCATATGCATATGTATATGTATATGTATATGTATATAAATGTGTATATATGTATATGTATATGTATATATATATATACATATGCCCTCCTTTCAAATATTAAGCAACAGCCAGCTGACGAGTGTGCCGTACTTGGGTTCTGACTCAAGCTCTCCGCCCCATGCCCTTGTCTTGGGGTTCGAAGGATCTCTTCGAGGGAGTCGTGAACTCGTTTACATCTGCTTCTTCGGCCGCGCTCGTTTCCTGGGCCGGCCGCGCCAACTGCCCCGACTGCAGGCCCGTGGTCAACTGTGACTGCCCATCCTGCCTGGCCGTGAAGTGTGGCGACGTGATCAAGCAGGAGGCCGGGGGGTTCACGCTCGGCGGCTGGCTCTGGTGGTTCGTGCTGCTCGCGGTGGGCTTCATCTTCGGACGTCTACCCCTTGCAGGGGCCCGGTGGGGGCCTGCCGCGGCCGCACCGCCTCCCTCTCTGACGGGAACTACGGCTTCGGTATCTAACCCCATCGCCGATCAGGCCCGCCAGCAGCTCGAGGCGCTCGCCTTGAAAAAGCGGGCGCTGGCCTCTGATCGGACGCTGTAGGCATGGCCGCGGTTGCGGCCGGCGTGGGGGTCTACACCATCCTGACCCCAGACGACGACGATTACGAGGAGGACACCGGCAACCAGGCTGACATCATCGAGGCCGCTCGACTTCCCGACGGCCTGCAAGGCGGGCTCCCGCCGCTGATTGGAGCTGCGGCCGCAGTGGCACCTGTCCACAGGTTCCGTGCGCTGCCGCTGCCTGCGCGGCTCCAAGCCGCACGAGCGGCCGGCGCCGCCAGGCTGGGCTACGCAGTGCCCGCCGGCGGCCTCGCCCTGAACACCGGAGGCCGGCCGCCAGCAGCTGGCGACGGCGTCGCGGCGGCGGCGGGCGGGCTGGACGAGGGCGACTTCTTCGTGGTCCGCTGCAACATCCCCGGGCCCGTCATGTGGCACGAGCGGGCGGTGGTCTTCAAGCCGCCTGTGGCTGGGTCAGCGGCGCCAGCGGCGCCCGCGGCTGCGGGAGGGCTGGCCGCCCTCGCTGCTGCCATCGGAGGGCCCGGAGGACCTCCGGGCGCCTTGGTCGCGCCAGCCGCGGCTGCCGCGCCGGCCGCCGCGGCGGTCGTGGGCCCCGCGGGAATGCTTGTGCCATCCGCGGGTGGCCCTGCGGCCGCAGCGCCCGCCGCCGCAGCGGCCGGCCCGCCCCCCGTCGCTCCCACGCCTGCGGCTGCCGCGGGCGCGGCCGCCGCCCCTGGGCCGATGGCGTGCCCAGCGCCGGGCGCAGGAGCTGCCGCGCGGTCGACCTGAGGATCCACCCGATCGGCCAGGACATGCAGGGGGTGCGCTTCCGTGAGTTTCGGTTCGCAGTGTGCATGATGACGGTGACCCCTTTCCACGACTGGCCTGTGCGCGGTCCACGGACCCTCTTATGGGTGTGCAAGTTCATCGTCGCCAACGGGGGCTCACCCGACGCTCGGCACAACCGCTGGAAGGCGGAGGCCAGGCTCAACGGCTCCGAGGCGGGCGTCGAGGAACACCTTCGTGTGTGCATGGCTCTCGAGACGGCCGCCTGCTATGACCAGATCAACATCACCGAGGTAGCCTCGTTCGAGATGTTCGGGCAGTCTCTTCAGGTGCAAGAGGAGCGCCACAGAGACCGCCTCGCTGGGCCAGAGGAGGCAGTCGACTCGTATCTCTTCCTCGGTTCCGACCTCGTCCGAGGCAACGCGTGCGTCTCACCGGACCTTCAGGACTGGGTTGCGCAGGAACTTGCCAAGGAGGTGTCGCCGTTGAAAGAGCGCCGCAAGGCGCGGGAAGGGAGGACCGCCAATCGCAACAACCGCAACAAGAAGGACAAGGGGGACGGAAATGACGGCAAGGAGCAGGGGCGATGGAGACTCCTGGCGCTGGTTTTAGGGCCCCGGCGCCAGGCAACTTTGACTTTTCGCCCTCTTTGTGCTGTGCCTCGAGCCCCGGGAACGTTCAGTGATGAGGCTGCCTCTGCCCGTGCCAGAGGTATCTTTCCTCTTCCTTTCCCCCCCCTCCCGTTCGACCCACGCTGCGGGCGCCTTGCAGGTGAGTAGGGGCGTCACCCGACGCCGTCGCCAGGCCAGGTTCTCGGCTGACTGGGCCAACGACGCCATCTCTTCCCTCAGCGGTGCTTACGGCTTGGGCCCTGGCGGCCGCTCTGCGAATCCTAACCTGTGCCAGAGGCTCGCCCTTCAGCACGTGGCTGAGCAGTTTCGCGCCGTCGGGCCCCAGCCTGCCGATCTCTTTTCCGGCGCGGGGGCCCTCGGCGAGCTCTGCGCCTCTAGTGGTTTGTACGACTCCCTTGGGACCACTAGGCGACTGTGCCTCCGGGGCCTTGTCTCCTGGCCAGGTGAGGGGGCCCGCCCCGTCGCTTTGGACAGCCTCTTGAGCCCTGGCGATTTCAAATGGGCCGGCCCTGCCGGCGAGAACCTGCTGAGGCCCGCGGCCGAGGCGCATGGCTTAATTCGGGAAGCTTGTCTGTTCGGCCCGTGCTCTCGTTGCGCTGCCTTCGACCGGAGGTTAGTCGACTGGGGGGTGGCCTCCTGGAAGCTCGCTACAGGCCGTCCTAGTAAAGTTGGCATTTTTTTTGGCGCGAAGAGATTTGGAAATATTAGGCTCATCTTTGACACTCGTGTCGCCAATTGCTTGTTTAAGACCCCTCCTGCCACCCGCCCCCCCGCCGCTTCGGCCCTGGGGTCCCTGGGGCCCCCTGGTGCCGAGGTCTTCGCAGGGTCGGGCGACATAGACAATTCCTTTCATAAAGTGGCCCTCCGAGCTTCAGGACTTCCCCCCCCCCCCCCCCCCCCCCCCTCGATGCCGGAGTTGCCGGGCTGACCGAGGTTGAAGGCCTGAAGGTGGGTCCCGGGGCCACGCTGGAGCCTGCGCTCGCGATCCTGCCGATGGGTTGGAGCTGGGCCATGCACATCGCCCAGTCCGTGCTGCTGAACTCGCTGGGCGACACTGGCATCGATGGGCCGCACCTCGTCGTGGACGGCAGCCCCGCCTCCCCGCTCGACGATGTCTTCGGGTTTCGCGTGGCTGGTTATGCAGACAACTTCGTCGTTGTCGGCCAGGGCCCGGTTCTCGCGGGCTCGACGGTCTCCCGAATTCGCTCGCGTCTGGAACGCAAGGGCCCCGTCGATCACGAGCTGGAGCCCGCCTCGAAAGACTCTGCCTTCATGGGGTCAGAGTTGAATTCGGGGGCTAGGCTATCTATCAAGCGCCGTGGCCTCTGGAGGCTGCGCCTCGCCATAGAAGAGATCCTCCGGCGCGGCCGCGCTAGCGGATCTCTTCTTCAGGCCGTGGTGGGACACATAACTTGGGCCGCCTTATTGCGTCGAGAAGCCTTGAGTTTCCTGGATGGCGCGTGCGCGCTTATCGAACGGGCGGGTGGGGAAGTTACTGTTCTCTGGCCTGGCGCCAGGCGGGAGTTGTGGAGGCTCCGATGCGCCCCCCCGCTGTTCACCGCGCGGCTGGGCGCCTCGTGGCGCGACCGAGCGCGCGCCTCCGACGCGCCCCTATTTGGCCTCGGCGTCTCTGTCCGGCGCACTTCCTGCGAGGCAGCGGGCGCCGTCGGCAGATGCTCGGAGCGGTGGCGCTATGAAGTCGAGGAACACACTCGCCCTCGCGAGGCTGCTCTTGCTGCGTCCTCGGCGCCCCCCGGCCTCGACCCTGCAGAGCCCTTCCCGTGCGACGCCACCTGCCTTGAGCAGGCTGCCCGCGCTTTCGACGAAGTTCCAGGCGAGTTTATGGATCCTGACAATTCCACACTGCGGCCTCCCAAGTCTCCCCGGGCATCAATATCCCGGCGTTGGAGGGGGAGCCCCTGGTCCTGGCTGTCCGGCGCGCTCTTCGTAACCAGCGGGCCCTGGGTCGCCGCCTGCTGGTCATTGTTGATAACTTGCCCTTGGTCCTTGGGGCCGCCAAAGGCCGCGCCCGCTCTAAGTTCCTGAGGCCCTCCCTCACCGAGATCGCCTGCCTGGCCCTGGCCACCGGTTGTCGCATCGTGGTTCGTTGGGCCCCTGCCGAGACGAACGTGAGCGACGCGCCTTCCCGAGGGCGTTATGGCTGGTTGACTGGCGCCGGGCGCATCAGATCCTACCAACCCGCCAGGCAGAGCGATGCCGGAGGCATGGGCCGCCTGGGGCCAGCCCCGGAGGCTGGCTGCGCGCCGTCGCGAGGGCGGAGGCGGCGCGCACCACCGCTGACGCGGCTGCCGCCCCCCGGGGCGGCGATGGGTGCCATCGCGGGCGCGCTCATCCACTGGCCCCTGCTCCGAGCCGCGGTGCTCGCGGCCCTGGGCCACGTGTGCTACTTGAGGCCGCAGGAGATTATGCAAATACGAGGTCGGCACCTTGTCGCTCCAGCTGCAGCTGCCGGGCCAGCGCGCCACTTCTGGTCCACCCTGCTTCGCGACTCGGCCCTGCTGCAGGCGGGGGAGGCAGGCGTGCGCGACGACGCGGTCGTCGTGGACCTGGGCGCGCGGCTGAACCCCGCCCTGCAGCGCATCCGTTCGCACCTGAAGCCCGACGAGCTCGTGATGGACCTGGACTTCTCGCGCTGCCGGAAGGCCCTCGTCGACGCGGCGAACCTCCTCGGCCTCCGCGCGCTCGAGCCGCGCCCTTGCCAGCTGCGGCGCGGCGGAGCGTCGGGGGACCTGGCCCTCGGGGGGCGGTCAGCCGAGCAGGTCCGCCTCCGGGGGCGCTGGGCGACCTTTGTCTCCGTGAAGCGGCACGCCAAGGACGCGAGGCTCCTCGAGACCATGGGCTCAGTGGCGCCAGACGCGTTCACCTACGGGTTAACCTGGTGCTGGCCAACCTGACGCTGCTGCTGCGCGCCGGCTCTGCGCTGCCTCCCGGGACCCCGCAGTCCATCGCGACCGCCTCGGCCCTGGGCCAGCCCGCGGCGCCCCAGTCGAGGGCCCAAGGCTCTCGAGGCGCAAGCAAATCGGCGAGCACATCAAGGGTCTGCTAGCTGCCGAGCTGCGCCGCGCCCCCCGTCTGCGACGTTTTGCGTTCTTGGAGCTGTTTGCTGGAGACGGGCACCTGAGCGCGGCCCTAAAGGCTGCCAGCTACGCTGTCGTGTCCCTCGACGTTCGCAACGGGGGCCTGGAGGGCCACCCGCATCCGGGCTACTGGAGCGTTATTCGTGGGTGGTTGCAGGGCGGGGTCATTGTCGGCGTCTGGCTAGGCACTCCGCGCGCTGCGTGGTCCAGGGCCCTCCGGAAACCGCTCAGATCCATCGCGGCCCCCATGGGGCTTGACGGCCTCAACCCCTCTGAGCTCAACAGGCTTGAAGTTGGCAACAACACGCTTAACATCAGCATTAAGGTCATTGAAACGCGCGCGCGCCTCGGGGGCCCCATCCACCTCGAGAGCCCCTCCTCCTCCATCATCTGGCACGCTCCCCTTCTTCAACCTTTCCTTCGCCTCCTGATTGTCACGTGCGCGTCGTTGATCTTTGTCAAGTCAGCGCTCCTTGGAGGAAGCGGCCTAGATTGGCCATGTGGGGCGCCGGCTACCACCCAGCTCTTGACGTTCGCTGTGCCGGCCGTGCCGGCATGTACTCCTGCTCCAACAAGCCGCACCTGATCCTTGAAGGCGTCGACCCGGTAAGTGGGCGAACAAGGACTGCCGTGGCCGCGTTTTACCCCGAGAAGCTATGCAGAGCGCTAGCGCGTACCCTCTACCAAGCTGCTGAGAACAACTACAGCATTAACAGGCATACTCGGGCATTGGGGGTGAAGCCTGCAGATTTTTCCTTGCAGGCTAGGGTTTGAAAGGCTTCCCGCGTCTTTTAGTTCGGCCTTGCGGCCAGTGCAACCTTTCGGGCTCGGGCCTTTTTGGGCCCTTCGGCCTCGCTTTAACGCTCGTGATTCTGCCGCGCGCGCGGCTCCCAGCTTCGCCTGTCGAGCTCGCCGCTCCGCCGGGTAGACCACGCAGAAAAGGCGCTGTCGTCTGTCAATCACTGGCACACGGGGGGATGGCAGAGCTGTCCTCTTTTCAAAGATCAAGCAACAACCAGCTGACGAGTGTGCCGTACTTGGGTTCTGGCTCAAGCTCCCCCCCTCCCTCCCTCGCTCTCTCCCTCTCTTTCTTTCCTCTGGGCCTTTTTCTTCGGCCTCGCTTTAACGCTCGTGCTTCTGCTGCGCGCGCGGCTCCCAGCTTCGCCCGTCGAGCTCGCCGCTCCGCCGGGTAGACCACGCAGAAAAGGCACTGTCGTCTGTCAATCACTGGCACACGGGGGGATTGCAGAGCTATTATATATATATATATATATATTATATATATATATATATATATGTGTGTGGTGTGTGTGTGTGTGTGTGTGTGTGTGTGTGTGCGTGCGTGCGTGTGTGTGTGTGCGTGTGTGTGTGTGTGTGTGGGGGGGGGGGGGTCCTATATATACATATGTATATATGTACAGACATACATACATACAAACATACATACACACATAAATACATACATACATACATACAAACAACCAATTACATATATATATATATATATATATATACATATTTGTGTATATATATATATATATATATATATATATATATATATACACACACGCCGGCCTGGGGGCGCCTTGTCCGCAACCATCCGGAACACTTTTTGCCACCCTCCCGGTTCGCTTCCCAGAGGCGGCCCGGAGAGGCCTGCGGGCCCCAGAAAGCGCCCAATAGGGACCGAGAGGCCTACAAGATAGCCCAAGAGCGCTCCGAGAAGCCTGAGATGGCCCCAAGACGTCCCAAGAGGCCCCAAAGAAGCCCCAAGAGCGCTCGAACAGGACCCCCAAGAGGGCCCAAAGAGGCAACAGTCAGGGATTTCCGGTGTGTTTTTCAATGTGTTTCGCGTTCTCGCGTCGTGGGCTTCCGACACTCCAAGATGGCCCCAGAGGCCCCCAAGACCGCCCCAAGATGGCCCAAGGGGGCCCCGCGAGGGCCCCAAGACGGTTCAAGAGGGTCCCAAAAATGCCCAAGATCGCCCAAGAGAGCCCCACGACAGCCCCAAGAGGGGCCCCAAAGGGGGAACACGAACCGACAATTCGAGCCTTCCGTCCCAAGAGGCCCCTCTGGAGGTCCCAGGAGGCCCCCGAGAGAGCCCGCGAGGCCCCCCAAGAGGGTCAAAAAGAGGCCCCCAGAACCCTCCAAACGGCCTCCAAGAGCCTCCCAAAACTGTCTCCCCGAGGCCCCCGAGAGGCCTCCCACGAAACCCAAGCGAACTTTCAAGAGGCCTCTAACCCGCAACCCAGGCACGGTGGCGGGATGGGCCGAAGGCCAATAGACGGTCCATGACGCCCACGACGGCCTCCAGACGGCCCAAGAGGCCCCCAAGAGGCCTCCAAGAGGTCCCCCAACAGAGCTCGAAAAAGGCAACACAAACATTGATTCGTCTTAGGTCGTTGAACAATGTTGGCTTTTCCGCCTGTTCCGTTTCCCGACGCTGTAAGACGCCCAAAGAGGCCGGCCCAATAAGTTTCAAAAGCGCCCCAGGATGGCCCCATGACGGCTCCAAAACTGCCGAAGAGACGTCCAAGACGGCCCGAGACGGCCCCAACCGCGGCCCAGGATCGGGGGCGTGAACCGAAAACCCGAGATCTTCGATTCTAAAGCGAGCTGTTGGACGCGAGGAGTGGAAGCGAGCGTCTGCCCGCGGCCGCGTCGGCTCAAGCGGCCGGCCGCCCAAATATGACTGTGCCTCATCGCGAGGCACACAGGTGCTATCGAGACCAAAAGGGTATTCCTATTGCCTAAGATGGCACATCTTCTCCTACTGGGATTATCGTTACTACGGCACAACAGAGCTGGAGCTTGGCTTCGCCTAAGGCGAAGCCGCTGGCTGGGCCTCCCAGCCCCCTTCGAACTTGGTGGCGGAGCTGGCCTATGGTGGTCAGTTCTTGCTCTACTCCTCACCGCCCACGGCGCTATCTGGTGGACTACGGACATGGCGGGACATCAGGGTGCAGTGGGTTTGCGCGGAGGAATGTATATAGCTACGCATTATCGCAAGGACACTTGCAGCGATACCTCTGCTCATGCGGAGGTCTCTTATTTACGTCCTACATCCCTGCGCTTCTACACTCCTGAAGTCCGCCCGACCACTTCTATTGGAAGCTTATTCGAAAAACTGATGCATGGAAACATGCGACGCGAAACATTGCCGCCTCCACCCCCACGCAGACTTACGATTACACAACGGAAAGCCCTAACCGACTACATCCGACCACGACCTACGAGGTCATCGGATCGGCATTACTAGTTTTGGGCTCACATGGGTCGCTATCGGGCGCGCGGTGGGACATATGCGCGGCGGAGACGACGCGACATCGACTGGCCCTCACTGGGACCCAGCCGGTCAAGTGCCTTTTCGCGACGAAGTACATGCCTGGGTCGACGTGACCACAGGCGCTATGACGCCCTCCCAGCAGGCTGCAGCTCTGCAGCCAGGTTTGGGAGGTCTCGCGCAGACCATAGCCATGAGAGTTCCTCCAGCAGTTATGAACTTTGGCGTCAACATAGGTGGTCGCCACACCGACGGCGCCACCTACATCATGTTCCTCTTAAGCACGAAGTTCGAGAATGTAGAAGAGGATCGCCAACTCAACTCTGGTACCGCTCTCATTGAATCCCGAGTCCATGCGGGAGAACGCATCGACCAGACGTTAACACGTTTTGAAATAGCCCGATATGACGCTGAAGCGGCTGGCTTCCAAATTTTAGCAGTAATTTTATTTAGAGCTCTTGGAGTGGGGACATCGCGTGCACAACAACTCCTGCAGCCTCTAAACCACCACATGCCGAGAGACCAGCAACAATTCGACGCTCTATTCAAACGTACGAGGTCATATGCTCACATTGCTGAGAGAACCCCTGGCAATATTGCTGGTATTTTCAGTCACGGCCACCGAGCCGAGACGTTTCACGTGGAGGTCAACGCGGGATAACCTGCTAACAGCGTCTGGAATGATGATTCACAGCCAATTGAGACCACTGCACTGTTGGCCCAGGATGGTGGAACGGCCTCGGGGTCGCAAGACTCCTGACACGGAGCCCCCCATGCGAGCCATGGCCCTAATGGGCTCAGCAGGGCAGCCCGCCGAGTCCGACTTCGACTCCGGTACTGATACCGATGCGTCTTCGGACGATGAAGCCACAGCCCTTGACTACTCGGATATGCTTGCATACCTCACGGAAGAGCAACAAGCGCAATGGTTATTTTTAAGATGCCAAAAACAAGCGCCGATGGCGGCGATTCATGGAGAAACCGGCACCGACGAGCACTCAAAGGGAAAGGCAAAGGTCGAAGCAAGGATAAAGACAAGCGTCGGCGATTGCACGGTAGAGGCACATTAGCATTCCTAGCACCCCTCACCGGACCACAGTATGAAGACATGTTTTTAGGTACAGGCAGATACCGCAGGCACACATCACGAAAAGGTAGGGGACGTCGGGGAAACCCAAAGGATGTGGAGTGCGACATATGCCACAGCACACAGCACTTTCGCCGCGAATGCTCTCAAGGCGCTGGGAGAGGCAGGGTTCCGTCAATGCATCTGGCTCAAACCGACTCCGACGTGCAGTATGTTGACTGGGAGTCTTTTCTAGCTGACCCTGCCGATAGCTCAGCTGCAGTTGTCCGCTTCATGGCTGCCAGATATCTCAGCGCCAGTATGACCCTCGAGAATGGCGCCGACGAGCTGTTCGAGGAGGCGTTCACCGGCCTCAGCGACATCGATCTGGCAGAATGGCTGGGCACGCCCGTCGCGGGGCAACCTGCAGATATTGAATTGGTCGAGAACTTCCACGAGCCCGCCCCAGGAAATGCCGACATGGCGCGGGCGCCCGCGGATTCAGAAGCGACCATTCCTGCAACAGACGAGGAAATACAGTTGATGTTTTATCCTTGGGCCATGGGAAATCTAACAAATATGGAATTGAGTGACGATGATTCTTTGCGGGGAAACCCGCGAGACGCTAGTGGTCCATCTGAGCGTATTCAATCTGACCTTGGCCTTAATCCGGGATTTCAATATACCTTCGTTGCTTCAGACCGTTCTATGAGCCGCCAGAAGCGGTCGACAAGCCGCCGGGTCTGGAGGAAGAAGCATCGCGCCGACGACGAGGACGAAGAGTGGGAAGATAACGATCGCATGATACGTCGCGGTCGGATCCCCCGTCGCTCACCTGATCGCGCGCGCGCCCGCTCCAGCGGCGCTCGCTCTAGCGGTCCTCAGCGCCCTCGTACTCCTGATGCGGGAACTCCACGCGCCTTGCGGGAACTCCAC